CCAGTGACGTGCTTGTTTCTGAGACACGGTGACGATGTAGATTATGGTATTCTGGAATGTGATGCTGTGTAAGTTTGGGTTGGTGGTTACCAGCGTGTCGGAGGAACATACTGCCTAAATCTTCAGGGAGAGTAACAACCTTAGAATACACAGTCTATATGAGACTCCTTGAATAGGCCTAATTTATTGTAATTTTGAAGTTTATTCCTTAGAGCGCCTGATTTGTATTCTTATGTGACCACGTTGTGACATTGGTGGCACTGTTTGGTAGTATATGGACCAGCGGGTTTCAACCCGTGTGTTAATGTCGGCAGTATCTGCATTAGTGTCCCTGTCAGAAAGTGTTCAGTTAAATGAGGGACTTCAAATCAAGAGCTAACAACTTCATAAGGATGCATGCGAATCGGAAATATCTTAATCAAGCTCGATATTGAAAGATTAAGCAAACGCTATGTCAGATATCTTCGTAATGACTGGTTTTGTTACAGGAAAAACTTAATAATATGCATATATTTAGTAGCATTTTGAATAATTACTATGAATTTTAGTAAATTATCCTTTTACAACCTTGAAGCCCACGAGTCGATAAGCAAGGGGGTATGTGGACCAAGGCGTACAAAACGCTGAGAACCCCTAGATAACTTTTCCCCCTTACTGTACTTTTCCAATTAATTAACTCCTATACCGATAATAGGCCGAGTGTTATCCTATTGTGTGCGGCTAAAAGGATCACCAATTTCAACACGGAACCCGAGGATAACAATTTCAGACTGCAGAATGGAAGCTTTTCTATTCTGTCTCGTCCAAGAAAGATCCTGATGTAAACAAAGAGGAGTGACAGTGGCCTTCTGGCCACCGCACGAATGGAGGAAGATCGCTGCGCGTGTGTCAACCTCGTGTGCGTAAGCAAGAAATAGTACCGTTATCTAATAATAATTTCTTTATTGAAAATTTTTCCACGGGAATGTACAGACAATTTCATTACGTTTGGTACATTTTTATGAATTTAGTAGTCCCTCTCGCGAATTAATTTTAAGCAGTCTGGGCCAAACACAAGGTATCAGTTGACAGTGTTGCGAAACCTTGCGTTTCTCTCTACCAATAACATGGTGTGGTAGGAGGCGAATTCTTCATCTCTCTGTTTGTTCCAGGATTGTTTCTGCAGGGGACAAAGTTGTGCAAGTTTTCCACTGACAAGGGTGTTTCCTTATACTACCTGAATTAATTATAAGTAGTCTGGTGTAATTACAAGGGGCGTGACTGCGTCGGAACGATTTAATTTGACGAACTTATTTATTCCAATGACCAACATAGGAACTCTGAACTGTTCTGATGTGACGGATAAGGTGCATGCCAGAAGTTTTTATTGGAATGCATGTAGCTTCAAGCTACGTTTTACAGCTCGATGGAATTTAAGGTTTTCACAGCTTTAAAAACTCGGATTGAGAACTCACCGGTTATGACGCGATACGTTCCATGGCAATGTGTGGCAACTGGCAATGTTGGCAACAACCCGAAGACCGCAATATGTACCTATGATATAACATTTACTAACTCTGCATTCTGCTCACGGAGTGTCAGTATACTTTTCAGGATAACGGCTGTTATATCCGTAAGCATAATTAACTCATTGATCTTTGCACTGAGAATGTACTGTACTTGTGTGGCTGTCATACCATATAAATGGTGCTTTAGCTTTTAATAACCTCGATTTTCTTCGACGATAGTTTTGATATTCTCTTTAATAGTTTCCGAAGCACTTTAGTGCATACATTATATAATCTTGTAAATTAAAACTATTATCATATCCTCCTAGCAGAAATTCGGATTTTGGTCCATACTTGCTGCACTGTAGGAACACAAGTCAGCAGCCAAACATCACAGAGTAGTGGTTAAAATACCTGCTGGTTTTTTTTTATATATCTGATTTGATACTTGGCCAGAGAACTGTCCCGCCTAAGGTTTCCTTGGTTTTACACAGCCCTTCAAGTGTTGGAATAATATCTTTTGTACCTTGAAATATGGCATGACTGACGTCTCATAACCTCTGCAGGTGACAGGTCATTGTTAGAAAGCCATGAGCCCTAACAGTGTTCTATGGCTTGTTACAGGTCTCTGCAGACCAGACAGTAAAGAAGATGCAGATTACTATTATTCCAACGATGATGACAGGGATTATGATGAAGATGAGCAGGACGACTCTTATACTGGATCGCCGCCTGTAATGAAGAGCAAGCCTCTTACCTTTGAGGTGCATCCAGGCGGAACTGTGGCTCTGCCCTGTGCGACTGTGAATCTGAGTATGACCGTTTGCTAAAAATTAAATGTTTCAGAATGTTGATGTCATGCTATTAGAGTTATCAGAACTTTGACTGATGTTGACTGTCAGTGTGAGTTTTGATGGGATGTGTGTTTATCTGATAATAACTTTTGTAGCTGTCTTAGTTTTAAATTGTTGCTAATAGTTATATAGCTGCCAAAGTTTTGATTTGATGCCAAGTGTTAGGGCTGTCGGAATTTTATACAGATAGATGGTCCCCCAAGGGAGAGATTAGATGCACAAAAGTGTAGGTGGGAGAATACTGTATGGATTTTAGATAAATAAATACATTGTGTGCCAGGGGTTGTCTTACCGATAAGGAATGCATGAAAATTGAAACAACAAAAATTAAACCCAATATTGAGACATTAATGGAACAAACGTACTGCCAGATGTCTGTTGGCTGAGTTTGTTGAAGAAAATTAATCAGCAGTAGGCTAGAAACTGAATCTATTGCAATAGCAGCAAACTGTCCTCTTACATAATCGTGCAGCATGCAAGTTGGTAACATGATAAAAGGGAAAGTTTGAAAACCCCTGATAAAGAATATAATCATGCCCCGTTTCCCTAGTTAGTTACCCTCCTACCTGCACTCAGGCCTTTTAAGTAACCATA